GGTCGGTTTGCCAAGAATGTTAATGTAAAAGGTAGGGCTCTGGATAAGCGTAAAACAAAACAAAAAAGAAACAAACGCAAGCCGCATTTACTAATTTCTTTTTATGAATATTTAATTTAGACTAACATCAGCTCCATTTCTTTTTTTCTTCTATTCATTTGGGATTCAAGCGAAAATATGCATTCACAAATTGCTGATGAAAATGGTCTGAGATTCTTTTTTTTTATTTTATTTAGACAGTGCGTATGTCAGCGTTCATAAAAAAATGTTTTGTATCCTAAATTAAACAATAAACGATTCAACATAGCAGATGTTAGTCTTGTTATAAAATAAGTGATAACAAATATTAAAAATTTACTATTGTAAAAGGAGGACGAAATGACAATTGAGGGAATGAAGGACTGTCCATCCAAATGGAGAACGGTTGGCAACCCTAACCAGAATACAAAATTTGTTTCCCTTTCACATCTTCCTCAATAAATTATCCGAACTAGATTTCGACTAGGGAAACCCAATAAGTCACCCTAACTATTGAATTAGTTTTAAGTTTTAATTCAAGTTAGCTATTAAGCCATCTTGTTAAAGTTAAACTGTAATCATCTGAGTAAATAAATTTAAAAAAACAACAATTTTCATGTGAATTATTGAAAATTTGGTGTGCTGAAAACTTGCAGTTTTCTGTCTTAAAAGTCTCTTAAAATGTGCAAATTAATGAATTGGTATTACTGGTGACCTGGGAGAGAGATCTGTTAACAGGGGTACAACCCGTGTACTAAATGGGGTTTCAGTGTCCGTTCCACGAAAAATATGTCGGTGAGAGGGATGTTTATTTAACAGGGATGATGTGCTATCTTTCAGAGAGCGTTCACTGTATTTATTTGATATTAAAATATATGCCAGGAGGTTTGGTTTCCACGCGCGAGAGTTTTTGTACAGCTATGTTTCTCATTAAATTTTGCTGATATACTGAAATTAATTCTTTTTTATGTACGGAGTATGGTTGACTAAAATGACTCGCCTGGTCGTTGCAAAACAATCGAATTAGCGTATCATATGTCGAATAAGAGCACTTTTAATTTTCGACATCCTACAATTAAAAGACATCAATCCCAATCACATTCATTTCAGGCAGAACAGGAAGGTGTAACTTGTTAGAATGGGTGAACGAATTTGGTGGCATCTCAGATTGAAGTTAGCAGGCGGAAAATCATGACCCCCTTCGTTCCTCATAATTGCTCAACTCGAGAATATCTCTGCTAAGTAAACAGCCGAGAGTGCTGAATAGGGAGTTTTTGCACCCTCGAGCGTTACAACAATCGAAAGCACTATCGATCTTCTGCGCAGGTGCACTAAAGTGATGCGAAACTTGAACTACGCATGCGCAGATGATCGTTAGTGCTTTAGCGTTTGAGGGAGCAAAACCCCCTTGTACTTTTGTGCATCTGTACATGCGCAGAAGATCGAAATTACAGTCGATTGCTGTCCGCTAAGGGATGCAAAAATTGTAATTTGATACAATCGCTAGAGATACTGAAACTGTTTGCGATTATGTTCGTAGCACTTACGTAGATAACATATTATCTTTCTCTGTTTCTGCTGCAAACAAAACAAAAAAACAACAGATAATTAAAAATATGATAAAGTGATCATCAACGAACAAACAGCGTTAATAGAGTTATCATACGTCTCCTGTTCCCTGAACTCTCATTGATGTAAGAAAAACTGTCCGGATGAATTTTACAAGAAAGAACGAAACGCCCTTTTTTATTGGAAGTGAGGTATTACGTCTAAATGCAAGCTTGGTGCGTATGTTGTGCGAAGGATGAAGCGCCTTTTTCAACTTATTCGTCATTTAATTTCAACTATCTTGCCTAACTAACAACAACCCATATGCATTGATTAACTTTACTCCTTGAAATCTCCTTTACTCCATGAAAGGCGACAGTGCTGCCTTTAGCTGGTGCAACATATTGTGGTACTGGGTATAGACTGTTCTGCTGGCCTGACGAGTTCATATATTTAGATCATGATGCCATACTGATGCCATACATGATGCCATTAAATACATAAAGAAAATTTCAAAGCGTTTGTTGGAAGGTTCAAAGCAGAGCAAAGTTCAAATTGTTGAGATTTATAGATTTCATAATCCACCAAATACTTCTGGTATAAAAGTGGAAAACACCTTAATGATAGTGAAGTATGTCCATTATGTGATTGTATAAGTGATGATAGTGATCAACGAATTTATTTTGTCAGTATTATGTATTTTGTTTTTAGGAAAAATATGCATGAAACATTTTTTAGATTTACATGTAGATTTATTTAGTCAAAAAAAACAGTAAAAACTGTATGTGAGGTATGGGGATCGTCTGCGGACTTTGTCTTGAGATCAAGAATCACTACCCGTCATTTTAACTGTAAATAGTTAAACGATGTGTAAAAGTTAAGGTATATAAATAAATAAAAATAACATTTAAAAAAAAGAGTGAGATTAGCAACATTTGAAAACTAGACATTTTCGTTCTCGAGTTATGGAAAACGTATTTGCAACGGTAGACGAACTGCAGGTTTGATTTTTTTCTGCATTGCTGACAAAATAATTACTTGCCCTTACCTCTACTCCTACCACTACGAGCAAAAGGAGAGTTCAACAAAACGTGCGCATAGTGAGGCTACATTTACGCCCAGAAGCAAAACAAGGGGTCATCTCAGCATTTCCTCAATGTATCAAGAAACTGGGCAAAAACCAGGTCGAGATGGAGTCATTGACCCGGAAGATGAAGTACATTATTTGTTACAAGCATATTAAGTATTTAAAAAAATATACAATACAAATGTAAACACCATTATACATCGCTGGTTTGAAAAAAAAAACTTATTTTTCTTCTGTACTATCAGTATAGTTTCTAATTGTATAGAAACAGTTATGCAGTGGAAAAAAAAACTTTTATATTAACTTTCTGTACCGACTTCAATTGTTTCATGCATTGCAAAGTGACGTACATGAATTGTATGTGGATTTCTGGTAGTGAGCTGTTGATACTGACACTTGATGAACTTGATTTCCACGGCGTGTGTTGTAATTATAAACCAGTATTGCATGAAAATATGTTTCCACCGTTAAGCAAGTCAGTTTTGACAAATTATTACAGATTCGTAAATAGGCACGGCAAAGGTCAGATTCCCAGCTCAATGACGAGAGGCCTGCAGGGATCACGTGGATGGCGTTTTTTCATTGGAATAATTTTCTTTTGCAGTCCAAAGATCTCAGTACTATATGATACAGGTTTCCCAGAATATTATGCCGTATCTTAGGCGGGAATTCACATTGCCAAAACACCCGCAAAGAGCTGCATGAAGACTGGCAGAATTTGAAAGAATTTTGAATGTGTAACATGAACTTAATTTAGTGTTTAATTCTGTTATATGTACATTGCATTTGAGGTTTGACTGAGTGGAGAGACATAGAAATGTTGTTACCTTAACATTAACTAATTGCATATTGTTAATTTTCAATTAAGCACGCGATTGATGATTTGAAATGCAAAAATCTTTGAAACTGTTTTTCCTTCAATAACTATTTGTTATTACAAAACCAATTTTAAACTTCTGAAATCGTACTATGTTTCTTTTTTGCACAGGGCATTCGTGTCATTGGCAAACAGAACATTTTTTCCGCTTTTAATAGACGAGGGCACATCGTTTACATATATCAGAAAGAGAATAGGACCCAAGACCAAACCTTGCGGGACCTCCTATTCAATTGGTAAAGAATTAGAAATATAAGTAAATAATATCCTTTCGTGCCAGTACGGTATTTCTACTCTTTAAGATCGATGTTTAAGGTACGAGGTTATCCAATCTAGGACAATACCACCAATTCCATAAGAAGGTAATTTAGATAGAAAGATGTTATGGCCAATAACGTCAAAAGCGTTCGAAAGATCTAAAAATATTCCAATGGGCATTATGGTCCATTGATGAAGCCATTGATTTAAGAAAAGAAAAATATGGCAGTTTCTGTAGATTTTGATTTTTCCTTAAACCGTGTTTTGGAGTCTGAAAACGCTTCGTTCTTTCTGAGAAAAGTTTCCAAGAGAAAGCCTCTCTAATATGTTTGAGAAACCTGACAAAAGAGAAATTGGTCCGTTATTTTGAATTTCATTTGTGTTCCCTTTTAAAAAAACTGGCTTATTTGCTGTTTTGAAAATATCTGGAAATATTCCTGTGCATAAAAAAAAGCATTGATAATGTGAGTTAAGGGGGATATAAAGGCAAGTACACATGTTTTCAATTAACAATCAGGAAATTCATCTAAACGAGATGAATATTTATTTTTTAGTTCACTGACTATTCTCAGGATTTCATTAGAAGAAGTTTCGGAAATAATCGTGTCAATGATCGTGTCAAAAATATCTGGGAGGTAAATGATGTGGAATTTTGTGGGTTTAGTCCCTTCGTGTGTTCAACGACCATTCTAGAAAAGTGTTGGTTGAAGGAATTTGCCACTTTCCGAATCACTTGCTTCTCTTTCGTTATCCTTTAAAACAACACTCTCTACTAAGTATCGAGATCATGTAGTATTTTTATGATATTACACATTGCTTTAGTTTTGTTACTAGCGTTCAAAATATTCTTATATTTTTTTCCTGAACTATTACTTTTCTTAAAATTATTTTGTATTTTCGGAATTAGACATGGAAACCGAGTGAGACGTTATGATATTTAGAAATAAAGCAAAGAGTACGTTTGTTTTTACATGATGTTCTAATTCCTTGTGTGATCCAAGTATTATTTTTTCGTGAAATGTTTAATTTTCTTTTTATATATGAAGCTTCCTTTTATTTCTCAGTGGAAGTATGGTAACCCGAATTTTTAGTCTCTATTGATGAAAATGTTTGGCAATTAATTTTCAGTGACTTTTTGAAAACTCTAAAACATATTTCCCTAAAAATCCATTACCTGCACTTCACTAAAATGCACCATTATATTGGTTTCAGGAGAAGGTTGGCGTCCAGATTATACCGTCGTATCTCATCTCTACAAAAGAAACTGTAAAAGAACGCGAGAAACCACTATGGACTCGCAAGAAACACGTACCGGAAGTCACATCTTCCTGGCATGAATATATGGAATTCAAGGTATTCTACTCTTTTCGTAATGAAAAACTGACTTGGTGTAAATATTCTAATTACTCGCGGATTCTGACAACTCATGTAACCAGTTCTTCCTTGAGCAGCGTCATTTCCTTGTTTGTATAGATTTCAGATCAAATAGATTATTTCACTATCCTTTTTTACATTACGCGCCTTTCATAGTCATCCTCTCTCTATATATAATAGACCAAAGAATGGCGCTTTTATACTATCTTAAAAAACCCACTGACACAAAACCTCGTAAACTCCACTTACTACGCTTCCTTTTGGCGAATGATTCAGAAGTATTAGCGTACACGTTTGCACAATGCCGCTTCTGGGACTCTCTGAGGAAGCTGGAGGGCACAGTTGATGTCACTGTAGTGTCGTTGACCGGGAGATCGAGTCCCAACTGTGCAGAATATTAACACTAACCAAATAGGTAGGTCTAATTCAACACCTGTCTGGAGGAGAATTCAAGCGGTCGCTTGCTCTGATAAGTTCTTTTTGGTGGTTTCTTCGATTAACACCAGGTGGATACCGGATCATTACCCTCACAAATGGGCCACACCCGATCTTTCCTTCCTCTTCCTTGTCCTACTCTCACCCCTTAATTACACACTTTCACTAACATGCCTACACTTCCACACAAGTGGGAATCTTAGAGCTTGTGTAGGCTGGAGCCAGAGCCCCGCTGACGGGAATACCTGGATGAGGAATACCCCGCAAGCCTATTTGTAGGTTGGCTGCTTATTTTCAAATCCAACTTGAGAAGACCATCGCCACTTTCCATGATACGAAAACGGGCACTACACTTACTATGTTAATAATCAAAGGACTTTACGCACCCAAAAATACAAAAGTAATCAATCAATCAATGGTTTCTAGAGTTCCAAAAATTACATTGCGTAGTTTCCGTGATGCAAGAATGCGTGACACTTGTGTCAAGCGGCTACTCGTGTGTAGGAAATTTCCCTTTAGTTGTTGATGCTGTCCAATTCTCTGACTATTGGGTGAACTATGTAGTAAAAACTGCAATTGTAACCATTTGGACTTCTGGCGACACCGTATTGAATTGAGCTTCTATATCCATTGCCAGTGCCCAGTATGTATCAAAAACTGTTTTTGAAACGGAAGTGTAATCACCAGCCGTTCCATATTTAATTACTCCCTTTGCGTAATTGGATTTTGAGTTTACAAAGCTCGTGGATTTTTAATTAAATCGCGCCCGAGGTTCATACAGCTCTTTGACTTAATTTGACAAGGAGTCAGTTCGTCCTCTGCGCAATAGAGGGCAGCACTGACGGAGTGTGGGCGACGGGAACGAGGAACGTGATTTCGCCGCCTTGTTACTGCAAGTGCCGATTTTCGAACATGTTTCGCACACTTTTGACAAACAAAAACGCAAGTTTTTAACCAAGTATTCGGCAGCAAAGTGGCAAAGCATTTTTAAACAGAACTGTTTTTCCGGTTTTAATAGATGCGGGCATATCGTTTTCATATAACAGAAAGAGGATAGGATCTAAGGCGGAACCTTGCGGGACCCCATATTTAATTTGTAAAACATTGGGAAGATAAGTAAAAAATGCCCTTTAGTTTTGTTACTAGCGTTCAAAATATCTTGATTATTATTCATTATTTTTGCCTGAACTATTGCTTTCCTTAATCTGCTCTTGTTTTATGAGAAGTAAACATCAAAAACCGGGTATACGTTATGATGTTTAGAAATGAAGTAAAGCGTACGTTTGTTTTTAGACGATGTTCTAATTCATTGTGTGGTCCAAGTATTACTTCTCCAAATCATTCGTGTCTTCAGAAAACAGAACTGTTATTCCGGTTTTTAATAGACGAGGGCATATCGTTTACGTATAACAGAAAGAGAATAGGATCTAAGATCGAACCTTGCACCATGCTCAATTGTCAGAGAATTGGATATATAAATAAATGATGTCTTTTCGCCCATGTTCTCTATTTATACTCTTTGGGATCGCTGCTTGAGGTACGAGGTTATCCAGTGTAGAGCAATACCACGAATTTCGTATAAAGGTAATTATGAGAGCAGTATGGTATAGTCAATAAGCTTTCGATCAATTTAAAAATATTCGAATGGATGCTGCATTGATGAAGCAACATCTTTAAGAAAAGAAAAATGGCAGTTTCCGTAGATTTTGATTTTCTAAACCCGTGTTGCGAGTCTGAAGACGCTTCATTTTTCCTAAGGAAAGTTACCATTCGCGTAAAAGTCTCTAATATTTTTGAGAAAACTGACAAAAGATAAATTGGCTGGTAATTTTGAATTTCATTTTTGTTCCCTTTTTTAATAAGTGACCTAAATTTTGCTGTTTAGAAAATATTTCTGTGCATAACGAAGCATTGAAAATGCTTTATGACGCACGTATGCGTTCTTTATGCAGTCGTCAAAGTTTCTCGGTTATTAAGGTAAAAGGTCACTCTACGCGTTGTGAATGATACTTTTCACGTCTAAAGTTGAACATGATCTCAATCGCTGACTCGCACTTCTCGTCACTGAGATAACGGAACTAGTCGCGTCGCACTGTGAGAACATCCGACCGCATCTTCACCGTGCACCTGGAATAGAAAGGTAAGAAGTAAGAAAGGTAAGAAGTAAGAAAAAATGCTGTTTTAAACAACTTCTTTTAATAAAAATATGGAATAAAATTGAAGAAAATTACAAAAAAAATTTCTGGAAATAAAAAAAATATAGATTTAAATTTGTAAAAGTTTTTTTAATGAATATTTGGTTAGGAGGGCACAATTCGCCATAATTACAATTTGGAGAACGGTAAGTAGAAAGACGTAAAAAAAATGTATCTACACGTATAAGCGCCTCTGACAGTTCTTTCGCCACGTGCGGTGGTGCGTCTTATGACCCGCTCTGATGCAATCAGTTCGCAAGCATTTGCATTTGTTTACTTGCTCACAGCCAACGTTCCTCTTTGCCACTCATCTCACTCGCTCACGAAGAGCGTGGAGGCGATAATGTTCGGCTGTGGCGATGGTTATGAACATGATGTCAAGACGCTGTTTCTGCTGTCAGTGTTACTGTTTTGAGATTTAATTTATCTGTGATGTAGGCCGTGCCATGGGCGTAGTAATGTGTGGCAACAGCGCACAGAACTGTCAGAGTCGCTTAGACGCAGCCGGTACGGTAGGGGGCAGAATTTGATGATCGAAAACATCGACAAAAATTATCAATAAAATGCTTTTAAAATGTTTTTAAAGTGCCCTAAAAGCAAAGAAAAATGACGTAAAAATATTGATTACAACCAATTCAAATGAACAACTCATACTGTTGGTTATGTTACTAATGTAATAGAGGCTTCTTTTCGTTCGAGTAACTAAACTTGCAAACTTTTGATTTGGACTTTTACACGTAAATATCAATCTTATAGTTATCACGAAATAGGCCGAACCGACAATGGTGCAGATAGCCGCCAAAGAAACATTAGCTAACATATAACTGCTGACATTACAAATTTTGAGCAAAGAAGTCGAATAGGCTCCTCGAGAATTCTGTGAGAACATTTGTTGCGTCGCATTAATATTGTTTGAAGCAAGTACCATAAAAATGGATGAAATTGGCGAAAAATGCTTTAAAAATAACGGGAAAAAGTAAAAATGACTTGATAGTCAATATCGACGAAAAGTACAAAATCCTTAAAAATACAACAAAAAAGGCATACAAAAACAGGTAATGTATTTTTGTCATAGCATAAAAATAATGTCTATACTAAACGGCAATGCTCTAAAGTGAAAAGACGACATTTGATTAACATCCGGTCTCTAGTAATGAAGTGCTGTGTGGTGGCGCAGGTGGTGCAAGACTTCCAGATGAGCGTCCTGCAGGTGTGTGAGACGCCCTTCGACGCGAGAGTGGTGGCGACGGTGCCCGCCGCGCACTACGAGTTCCCGGACGGATACCATCAGGTGACCGCGCCTCCCGCGTTCTCATCTCACCTAAACGCTTTGAATTAGGGTCATCTAACAAGGGAAAGGTTTGTCGTTCCTCATGACATCGACGTTGGGTTTTACGTGTTTATAGATATGTGTAATATGAACGTATTCGAAACGTGTTGTTGCGGAGTGGACAAGTTTGGTTTCGTATTTACTTGGCTGTCCGGGTGACGCCGCGTCCATGGCGAAGGTCCCGACGTTTCGGTCGCCATAGAATTGAGCCCCATTTAAACTCGTGCGCAGCACATCTCCGCGCATTACGCCCTGAGGAAGGTCGCAGAATGGCGACCGAAACGTCGGCACCTTCGCCATGGACGCGGCATCACCCAGACAGCCAAGTAAATACTGACTCCGGCCGCGGAAGCCTACGCTCTCACAAGTTTGGTTCCATCGGGATTCCAACGTTATGTTATCCAGTCAGATGCTCTATCAACTGAGCTAATGATTCAAAGATTGAGTGAATGATAATTGAACGATGTTACAGCAACCGGCAATGTTGCTTTAGGTATTATTGTCATGATTGATCATGAAGATTAATTATCTTGGCAACAATTGTTTAGGCAATTCTTAAAACATTTTTTCAAATTTCACTTTACTTCTTTAAAATGTTTTCACTTAGCTGAGTTTAAGAATTATTTCTTCATAGCAGCATGAAGACGCTAGAATCATTTGGGCCTTGCCTCACTCTTGCCGTTGCGGCCCCTTGTGAGTTTGACTGATCAGTCGCACAAAACGAAGTTTGGTTCATTGGCGGCTCGTGACTTCAAAATATTCAGGAAATGCTATCCTCATTTACGAATTTTATTCAATGAACTTCTCAAATATAAAAGTCATGACTATCACAAAAACACTATTGACTCTTAAGATAATTTTTAACTTGGAAATTTGGTATATAACAAGACTATGCTTTGTTCAAACTCATATAATAGTTAGCTAAATTACGATTTTCGTCTGAATTATCCTTAAAAAGTGTTAAGTAATTTGAGCAGAGAGGGAATCGCAAATTTCTTGCGACACCAGTATTAAATGTTAGTCTGTTACCATGTCGCTATGCATTGAACACTTTCGGTTCCATTATGCGTGGCTATGACCTGACGCGTGTTGGCCATTAACATGCATGAAGGGACGGTCTCGGCCGTTTCACTAGAAATTGTCATGATTGTCACTGCAACCGACACGTGATCTCCTTCTGAACGACAACCTGTGACATAAGTGTGTAAATATATTTTGAACCGCTAGCTCAGCTTGGCGTAGCCATACAGAGATAGACTTCTATGCTTCGCTCAGACGCGAACATAAGGGAATTGTGGTAGCTTTAATCCTGTGTCTAAAATTCTAAAGGTAAGCATTTCATTTAGGTTGGGAAGATGGATAAGTGAGAGATTTTTAATACAGCAGTTTCCTCAGACACCTTCATTGTAATTTATGAAATATAGTGGTCATTTGGAAGTGATGTGGCCAGTAGCATAACGAAATGAGTGCGGGCCCGCCCTAAAACTTTTATCCGGACTCCTTTTATAAAAGTGCCTAGCAAACACAACTAGGGTTGGTACCTTAAACAGTAAAAATATCCTTTAAGAAATACGAATCCATAAGTCTAAGATTAATCACCAATAGTGGAAAAAAACTGCCTTTGTTATTTAATTTGATGAAATTAAGACTAATATAAAACCTAAATGAATTGCTTTCCTTTATAATTTTAGAAAAAGGATTACATATCTACCGAAGAGGGAAAAAACGTTCTGAAATACTACGCTGTTTTCAATCTTTTATCCTATCAACTGTTTCAAAGTATCAGAGAAAATATCAAATAATTAATATTTCAATCGCAGTCCATCTTCTGTCGAAAAGTAGGCCATTTCCGACCTAGGTCCGCCCGCATTGCGCCACCAGCTGTGGGGCGTGGCATTTCCCTGCGCAAGACCTGGCGTGATTGCGAGGAGGGCGTTCTGCGCGCGGGCGGGCAAGAGGAAGCTGTTGCGTTGGCAGGAGTTCGGCGCGGAGCGCTTCAGCATTGCGGAGGCGCTGTTCGCGCCGGGCGCCGTCCCCGCCCCCGCCCTCGCCCTGGCCCCCG